AGCTAATATACAAAAGTGGCGCATCGTGCCTTGATGCGCGCGGTAGGGCGGAGCACACGCGGGTGGCGACGGGTGCACGCGGATGCGCCGTAGGCGATTGGGGCACGGGCGGTAGCTGGGACGCGCACAAGAGGAATGGCAGCAGCGGGGCGCAAACGGGTGTGCGCGAGTGGACAGCGGACGCGCGAGACCTAGTCCTCGTAGAACTAGACAAGGCGAGGGGACGGCGCGCACGCGCAGGCGGGACGCGGCAATGACGTGATGTGCGAGATGATGCACGCGTGTGGGGGCACCGCGCAGGACGCCGAGCGCGACTAGGAGTAGGCGACTGAAGGGCGCGCGCGCAAAGCGGCCGATGAGACTTAGGTCTTGCTAATGATCAAAGCTTCTAGATGTTCTTTAAGTGCAAGACAAGTAATTAGGAAATCTAGTAGATTTAGGATTTTTGGTAGTAGGATATTTACTTGCCTTAGGATTTAATATTTTATTATTTTAATAATTTCCTAGTAAGATTAGCACTAGAGGTGATTAGCACCTATAAATACCCCATGTATTCTTCATTATTGGAGAGGTTGAATGTTGAATTAAGTGTTGAATTGGTGAGCCAATTGAGAGGGGAACTTATGTTCTTACGTGTGTTTAAACAAGACCGCTAGTGCGTGTTTACATACAGTGTCGGATAGAAGGCCATTAGAGCGTCTTCAAGTCACAGTGTCTAGGAGTAGGCCGATAGTGCGTCTGTTAGATACACCTATCGTGAGTAATCAAAGGCCTTGAGTGCGCGATTATTCACAACCCGTATAGACAAAAATTCGATCCGTCATCATTGGTGCTTTTGTTGAGAGGTGCTGATCGAATTTTTATCTATCTATCTTTTTCCTTTTTTTTTTGGTTTTGCCTTTTGCTGAGGGGGCCAAATTTTTGTTCTTTTTTGTTCGAAATTTTTGAATTTTTGTTCGAATTTTTCATTATTTCTGAGTCATTAAAAAAAAAGTGTCATCTAGTCCTTTGTGTTAAATTTTTTTGGTTATTACCTTGTGCTGAGGGGCCGAATTTTCCTTTGGTTCGAATTTTTTCGAATTTATTGAGTCTCAAAAAACAGAGAGATTCATGATGTCAAACCGTGAAAGGATCCAAGCGTTGGAAGATAATCCGAAGATCATTGGGGATGGTCAACATGCCACCAACGAGAACTTGGGAAGGATTGAGCTTATGGTCCATGATCTGGTCGGGCAACTTACACGCATGAACACGCGGCCACGAAGGGGACACGGATCACGGTCCACAGCGTCAAGCACCGGGACCGAACACGAGGACGACCGCCAGTCCAGGTGCACATGCGCATCGCGCGCGGATCACCACCGAGACAATCGACGAAGGCATGAGGGTCGCGCACATCACAACCAAAGGCGCGAGGAGGACGACGATCAGTAGTCGTACGCATCACACACATCGCGGGCCACACGCGATGAGCGATGGGCACGACGCGATGATCGAGAGCACTACGACAAGGATCAGCGATGGCGCTATGAACGTGCACGACACCATCGCGATGAATACCACGAGGAACGGGCATATACACGGCCGAAGATCACTATGCCCACGTTTATGGGAGTAGATCCGGATGCATGGTTGAGTCGAGCTGTGCAATTCTTTGAGATCAACGATGTGCCAAGGTAGGAAAGAGTCCAAATCGCTGCTTATCATCTTGATGGAGAAGCAAACGTATGGTGGCAATGGATTTTGCACAAGAATCATGGAGAGCACATGCGTTGGAGAGACTTTGAGAAGGAACTCATCACGAGGTTTGGTTCGAGCAATTATTTTGATTACGATGAAGCTTTGTCTCAAATTAAACAAAGTGGTAGTTTGCGGGAGTACCAGAAGGAGTTTGAGCGCATTGCTAGTAGGGTGCGGGATTGGCCCGAAAGTGCGCTAGTAGGAGCGTTTGTGGGAGGACTGAAGTTTGAATTGGCGGCAGAGGTGAGGTTAGAGAGGCCAAGATCGATGTGAGCAGCCATGGAGTCGGCTAGGTTGCATGAGGATCATCTTGCAGCGGTCCGAAAGGCGAAGACCAGCAACGTGTGTATAGAGCCGAAACGCATGCGCGCCGCGACTGAGGAACAAGTACCGAAGATCGAGAACAAGCCGATGGGCAATATGGTGCGAACAACGAGCAACGTACGACGGCTTACTGATGAAGAGATGAAGCGCCGAAGGGAAAAAGGCCTTTGGGAAGTGTTTTTGTTAGAATTTGAGGAGGATTGTGAGGAGGAAAAGCCACAGGATGAGTCCTTGTTGCATATGGTTAAAAGCAAAAAGCGTGGTCCGAAGATGATCACATTCACGGCTGAAATTAGAGGCAAATTTGTGGAGGTATTGGTCGATAGCGGATCTACGCTGAACTTTATTGATGAGGAGTTGTCCAAGGAGATTGAGATTCCATTCACAAAGGTTGCCTTTTGGAGTCAAAGTAGCAAACGGAGAAACACTTCGAGGAGATATTCTCTTCAAAGGTGTAAAGATGGAGGCTCAAGGTCAAAAGATGAGAGTGGATCTGTATGCCTTGCCATTGAAGGCGACGGATATAGTACTTGGATGCCAGTGGTTAGAGACTCTTGGTCCAATCATA